TGTATAGTGCTTGAACGCCTTTATATAATTGTAAGAACATTTCATAAATATAAAAATGATCCTGATTTTAATGAAATTATAATTGCTATAAAATTAAAGTTTAGAAAATATTGAAAAGACTTGTCTATATTATTTTCTTTAGTATGCATAATGGACCCCTGATATAGTTTATCAGGAACTAAATACGTAACTGATCAAATCAACAAATCCTTAACGTTTGATATACCTATCACCTATAGGAATTTAGAGCAAACGTTATGTAAAATGTATGAAATATATGCGGACTGAATGAGTGCGAATGTTAGTCGGGTACCCTCTGTACCTACTCTTTCGAGTGAAATTGAAGAAGGTGACGTCGAAATAATGAATTTATTTCAACGCATTTATATATATATATATATATATATATATATATATATATATATATGATGCAACTGTAATGTGTTCATCTAGTTCCTTGTCGTCTACATCTGCATCTCATCAAACATCGATCGCAACTTAAAGTGCGATGCTTACCGAATTAATTGATTACTTCAATCAGAATATGCCAACAAGCAAAACAATTAAAAAAAGTTCAGAAAAAGTAATTGAATTCTAGTGAAAGTATGAAAGAAGCTAGCCAATTGTTTCTACAATTACGAAAGATCTGCTGATACCTTTAGTTAGCACTGTTGCATCAGAGTCCGTTTTTAGTATAAGTAAAAGGGTTTTGACCAATACCATGAGCCGATTGAAAGAAGATATTTTGAAAGCGTTAATGTGCATGAAGGATTGACATGATGCTAATTTTCGACTACAAGATAAATATGTCGAAATTGCATGTCATCAGGTAAGTGATATTTGATATAATTATATTAATTAAAATTTCTTATTTTTTAATCGTTACATTTAATTTTCTTTAAAAAATTGTACATGTTACAAAAAATTGTTCATGTACAATTTTTAACTCTGCCTATTTAAAATTAATGTAGCCGGTCCTAAACCCGAATAAAGGAGGATGGTTTACATTTTATCTATTTTAAAAAGAAAACGAAAAAAATGTATTTAAAAAAAATCTTCATTACATAAATATTTAATACTTTATATAAAATATTACTATATGATAAAAATAAAAAATTTTCTTCATTAAATTATTTTTTTAAAAATGCATTTGTGTTCATTTATTTTTTTGTATATAATAATAATAATAAAAAGACGAGCTCTCTCATGGGCCGAGTCAAACTTGACATCAAACAACGAGTCGAGCCGAGCTCAAGCTTGGCTCATTGAAAACGAGCTATGAGCGCGAGCCGAGCTCGTGTGTATACAAGCAGAGTCGAGCCCCATTGCCATCCCTAGGCTTGTATATTAATATTTTTCAATAAATTCTCATCCCATTGACTTATCATCAACTCCATTTGATCCTTGGCATTCTTAAATCATCATTTTGCTATCCAACTAAAGTTTTGAAGTATTGCATTTTAATCCCCAAACTTTGTGTTTGACTCGATCGAGCCATTTTCTCTTGTAATTTTGTTCATTTATCTTCCAATTGTATCCAATTAAATTCTTGGCATCTTTGATCTTCATTTTGCCACCTGTCTTATCTATGGATTGTTTGCAATTTAGTCCTCGACTTTTGGAGTTCGCCATTTTCACTATTTTGCATTTTTTCTGTAATTCTTTATCAAACATCAAGTTTTACCTATTTAACACGAAATAACATGAATTAGGCTATATTTCATTAGAAAAACTACAAAACATCATTATTTAAAGTCATGAATAAGTGTATAAAATACAGTTATCAGAATTCGTGACTTAAAAAAGATCAACCAATTTCAAAAGTCTTAATTGAACACACTTGACTTAGTTACTTGAAAGTACTTTAAACGTAGGGAATTTTGGAACATACCTGGCCTTAGCACGTCGTTAGATTTATATGAATATTATGTTGCCGCTTTATTATCACGCTTTTTCTTTAGAAATATTTGATTGTCAATCAATTAAAATGCCAAAATTAGCTGAAGTCCTAAGAAAATTAGAAACCTTTCTAATGATGTTTTGTCTGATTGGGATTTGTAACCAGAAGATAAAAGACGTTTCAACAGTCAAAACAAACACATTCTTTAATAACTTGAGGATTTGTGTGACTTAGTCTACCTAACAACTTTAGCCAATTCAATTTAATTTTCATGACAACTGTACAAAACTGGAGTAGAGTTCATTTCAAGTTAGACCTCCCACCACAACCACTTTCAACCCACCCGTAAAGAAGTAAATCCATAAATAAGAGGAAGAATGTTTGATACGTGCCTTTGAAATGAAATCTATAAATGATTAAGAATCCAAGAGTCAATCGAAATTGAGTTGAATGTTGAGACTAATTAAATAATAATAATGTTAGTTAATTAGTTGACAATCATGTTTGGGAAAAGCCAAATTGCCGGGGGGAATTTCACAGGGTTGCTACAGGTCACTCACAAACACGTGGGTCCCATTATTTTTGTCGTATTTTTTAATGAGATGGGACCCACCTCTTTATGAGAGCATGTACAAACCCTAGGAAATTTTACCTTGCCAGTGTAGCATTTCTCATCATATTTTGACACCATTAATATAAGAAATAATTTTTAACAATTTTTAAAATAAAAGAATGTGATGCTGCCAAGTATGTAATTTGTTGTGTATATATTGTGAAATGCCCCAAATTGAACTTATTTTTGTCAATTAAATCACTCATTAATCAATTTTCCAATTTTACATTTTAAAATGGAATTTGATTGGAACTTAATATAACCTTCTTAAGATTTTGCTACTTGTACATAAAAATGGTACATAAGTGGTTACAGGAAATGAAGTGGAGAGAAAAGATTGGATTAAAAAAATTAACTATATTTTAAACTGATAAATGATATAGTGTTATGTGATATTATGTAATTCCTTATATAGATATTGATGTATACGTAGCAATGATCATCCAAATCTAACGGGGGTGTCCCCATTTTAGAGTTTAATAGATTTCTTAAAATTTATAAATTCTCATGGATTGTGTGAAATTTGATAGAATTTAATAGATTTCATAAGATTTAAATGGATTTCTATTTTGTAGATTTTAAACGATTTTTCAATTGTTTGTTAAACATTGAGCCCCTGTTTGAGCCCCATTTTTACCTCATTAAAATGAAAAATATGACCGTTATCCATCACATTAAGCCACCATTTTTGAATTTCTATCTCTGATGTGAAGCCCATAACGACTCTATTTCTAATTCTCATTCTCATTATAATGTGGCTCAAACGGGCTCTGAATATTATAACAGGGCTTCAATAAAAAATACACCCAATATTCAACAAAATGCGAGAGTGGGAGAGGACAAAAATATGTAGTGTTAAATAATCAAAATCGCAATCAATATGAATTAGTTCAAAATGCCACAACCTTGTGAGATATAAGCACACAGATGTACACATACATGACCACAAGGCAATTAATTCCATACCCCCAGAATTCTCATTGACCATGCAAACACAAAAGAAAAAATTGTGGGATACCATCCTTACATATCTTGGTTAGGATTTGCAGGTATATATAGAAAACACACAGCTCTTTCCAAGAAAAAGGAATAGGGTTGAAAGACGAAGTTGTTCCAGTATGCATATTAGAAATCGTAAATTATCATGATAACTTCCAGCACATCTATAAAATAGTAAACAATATATAGTTTCGATAAGAAAAAATAAGTTCAATAAAAAATCACACCCAATATTCAACAAAAAATAGTAATCTTTCATAAATTATCATCAATTGAAGAGTTTTCATACATGATTTTTTCACAGTAGAGAAATGTGAGATAGAAAAAAGAAGAAAATCTTGTTGAAGATGGAGGGGGGTGGGGGAGAGAGAGAGAGAGGGTAGCAAATATGGAGAGAGGTGAGAAATGTTGTGAAATTTTTAGGTTTGGGTTAAAATTGTTACTGATTCTTTGTACTTATATTTTTACCTTGAAATCCTTCAAAATCTATCTACTTAATGAAATCTTTTAAAATCAACTAGTTATTGAGGACATCTAAATTTCAAAACTACCTATTAAAATTTATGTTGAGGACACCTAAATTTATAAGTATTTTTAAAAATCTAGATTGGGGACACCTATATTTTGATGAATTATATTTAAATCTAAATTGAGGATACTTCAATTTATATGGAGTTTTAAAATCCATCAAACTCTAGATTGAGGACACCCCCCTAAGTCATTTATTGTCATTTATTAACATAAAAAGGATTGCGTGAAAACGTTGATGTCGCACACATGTTGCCAAATTTATCTGCTTTTCTTTTCTTAATTTTTTTTTGTTAGGTTGCAGACTTGCAGTGGATGTGATCACTTACATATAACCCGTGACACCACTAATGTTTTGGATCACATTTTCACATCATTGATTGTTGCGAACGATGGTTTTGATCAGATAATTGAACTTCTAAAGATTGGGGATCACAGTTGTTTGTACCCTTTTACTGCTGCCACTTCGCACCTTAGCTACGCGTTTATGCTATGAGAATTAAGTGCTGATATTTGTAGCTATTTGGCCCCAACATTTTTCGCACACTTACAAATAAAGCTGAAGTCAACACTCTTTTACAGCCTCTAGAGGTTTAAAAGAATAAGCTCCAAGCCTCTGCAGGAAGCTGTTAGGGAAGCAATGATCTTGTAAAAATGGATCTCAATGATTTGGCTTAATTATAACTTGATATTTCATTGATGACAGATGGAGATTAATCTAATTAGTTTTAATATGTAAAGGGAATTTAATAATGTAATTATGATAGCATTTATTATTAATTGTAATTTCATAGTGTGTTTATGTTTTTTGAGAGCAAGTATTTTACTCAGACTATGATTAAGTTAGTTATTTATGTATTAACGATAAAAATATCTTAAAGTACTTTTAATATGTTTATTAAGTAATGAAATTTTATGTAATTTGTGGAGATTTTCTCAATGTAAAATCAATAACAAACAAATGTATTAAAAGGTTTATTATAAAAATATTTAAAACCTTTCTCAAATATGTTGCCAAGCAACCAATCAATCTACAGATTCTTTGTTCAACACTTCATATGGTAGTCTAACAACAGCTGCACCTGGGGCTAACCTATCTCTTTGTGAAAAAAAGAGAAGTAATGTTGAATTTCTATAGGCACTTAGTGCACAGAGATGAGTCTGGTTGATAGCTTTTTCCGTTTCATCCTGCATTTCTTTGGAAGCATGGTGATGCTGGATGAATTATATATGTAGATGTTTCTTCCATGCACTACAAATTGGCAGGCGGAGCTGGGTTTATTTATCAAACAGCATGAGTGAAATTAAAATTAAAAAGCTTGGTTTGCCCATCATATTTGTATGGGAATCCAAAATTTCCCTTTCCCCTATATCCTTCCAACTGCCACTGGCTACCCTCTCCAATTATCCATCTAGTTTTCTTACCCTCCACCCCAGCTAGCCCTAACTTCTAAAACCCAACTGGTTTTATCACGTGTTACCCCACCCATGAAAACCCGTGAAGAATTGGGGCCCTTAGAGAAGAAGAAGTACCAAAAATATTCTTGAATTGATGAAATAAATGGTCATATTCTAACAATATGCCTTTACATCTTCTAGCCCCCTTCAAACATTTGGAGAATTCACGTGGCAGTAGTTTGACATCAAGTTTATGGAAGTAGAGTTTTGTGAAGATGTCATTGTGTCACATATATTAAAAAAAATATCTGTTTCCGCTGTAAGAGGAAAATTACATGTAAATAAGTATACATTGTATGAGCAGTCTATGTATGTCCCCAGATAGAAAATATTAACGACATGTTTAGAACTCCATTTTCACAGGCATCTTACCTGCATAGGTACTTGTTTGCACATATATTTCTCTGTTGCATAATCTTGCTCTCCTTGGATTATTACTTGATTTAGAAGATTGGAAAGTCACTATTTAATGGTCTAAATTTGAAAAATACTCTCTCTCAAATTGTAATTGTATGTGTGAATCACGTATGTAAAGTGGATGGCTTTAACTTTTAACCAATCAATTATTTAGGTGCATCTTGGTTTCTACTTTTCGAGAGTACGAAATTTTCATTTGTGCCCACTTAAACAATTTTCATTTTAAAGCTTCTGTACCTGAACTCTGAAATATGTGAACAGTACAATACTTTCTATAATTACATGAGTGTAGTGCCCTGCCTTTGGGCTCTAGTTGAATTTGTCCCTATGTGAATTATCTGTTTGACGTTTCTTCGATGCAGGGCGATCTTTTGAATGTCAAAGTAAACAAATTGACCTCTATAAAAACTCAACTTCCTTACTCCTTCTATTCCCTTCCGTATTGTAAACCAGAAAAAATCATGGACAGTGCTGAGAATCTTGGGGAAGTTCTTCGTGGTGATCGCATTGAGAACTCTCCCTATCTGGTAAGTCTCCGTTATTGCCCTTTTCTTTATGTTTTTCATCCCTTTCTTCCCTACAATTTACTCAATCAAACCAATTACTGCCTGGGTCATTTTTCAGACAAGGAAGTGTTATATGTGTTATGTATGAGAGAGTGAACTCCTCACGGAAGCTTAATTTTGCAGTTTAAAATGCGAGAACCACAGATGTGCAATATTGTTTGCCGTATTACACTTGATGCGAAACAAGCAAAGGAATTTAAAGAGAGGATAGATGATGATTACCTGGTGAACATGTAAACAACCTTGTTGAAATTTTTTATGCATTCTAAATATCTCTTATTGTACATCCGACTTTTTACTTTTGATGCTTTCTTTTCCAACAGGATTTTAGATAATCTACCTCTAGTCGTGCCTTATAAAAGATCAGACATAGATTCATTGGTGTATCAGCACGGCTTCCGTGTTGGTCTCAAGGGACAATACACAGGTGTAAGTAAATTTCTTTGCTTTTGGACTCCAATATCTTTTCGTGACAGGAGATAGAGTATTGACTCCTTCACTTTTTTTGGTTGACATAGAGCAAGGAGGAGAAGTATTTCATTCACAATCATTTGACATTTACTGTAAAATTTCACAAGGATGAACAAACCGGTGCTGCAAGAATTGTGGGATTTGAAGTCAAGCCATTCAGGTGAAATGATAGCAAACTGCTCATTTCTGTGCTTCACAAGTATTTTTGGACCTTTTATTGATGTTGGATTCTCTTAACTCTTTGTGCCTCCAGTGTTAAGCATGAATACGAGGGTGATTGGGATAATAAAACAAGATTAACAACCTGCAATCCTCATGCTAATCGAACTGTAACGAGCTCGGACTCTCCTCAGGAAGTTGAAGATAAGAAGGAAATTATCTTCACATACGATGTAGAGTTTGAGGTAATGCTTCCTAAATCGTTGTGGATAGAATAATAATATGTGCAAAAGTAGGAGCAATGGTCAGTATTACTTTTGTTTTGCCTTTCAGGAGAGCGAAGTCAAGTGGGCATCTAGATGGGACACTTATCTTTTGATGGCTGATGACCAAATCCATTGGTTCTCAATTGTAAATTCTTTAATGATTGTTCTTTTCCTGTCTGGAATGGTTGCAATGATTATGTTACGGACCCTCTATCGTGACATCTCCAATTATAACCAGCTAGAGACCCAGGAAGAAGCTCAAGAAGAAACTGGGTGGAAATTAGTTCATGGGGATGTTTTCAGGCAGCCAACAAACTCTGATTTGCTCTGTGTTTATGTTGGAAGTGGTGTGCAGTTCTTTGGAATGGTACTGGTTATGATGATTTTTGCTGCTCTTGGGTTCCTGTCCCCTTCTAACCGAGGAGGGTTGATGACAGCTATGCTTCTTCTCTGGGTGTTTATGGGTCTTTTTGCTGGATACTCCTCTGCTCGTCTCTACAAGATGTTCAAGGGAACAGAATGGAAGAAAATCACTCTTAGAACGGCTTTCATGTTCCCTGGAATTGTCTTTGCCATTTTCTTTGTCTTGAATGCTCTAATTTGGGGTGAGAAATCATCAGGGGCTGTGCCGTTTGGTACCATGTTTGCATTAATGTTTTTGTGGTTCGGCATTTCTGTTCCACTCGTTTTTGTTGGTAGTTATGTTGGATTTAAAAAGCCAGCTATAGAGGATCCTGTTAAAACCAATAAAATTCCAAGGCAAATACCCGAGCAAGCCTGGTACATGACCCCGGTCTTCTCTATCTTGATTGGAGGCATACTCCCATTCGGGGCAGTGTTTATTGAGCTGTTCTTCATCCTGACATCAATCTGGTTGCATCAGTTCTACTATATTTTTGGCTTTCTCTTCCTTGTGTTCATCATCCTCATTGTCACTTGTGCAGAGATCACAATCGTGCTTTGCTATTTCCAGCTATGCAGTGAGGATTACCTCTGGTGGTGGAGATCATACCTGACCTCAGGCTCATCAGCTCTATACCTCTTTCTTTATACAGCTTTCTACTTCTTCACGAAGCTAAACATAACAAAACCGATATCTGGTATTCTGTACTTCGGATACATGCTGATTGCTTCATATGCCTTCTTCGTGCTGAGTGGTACAATAGGATTCTATGCATGTTTCTGGTTCACAAGGCTCATCTACTCATCAGTGAAGATTGACTAGGCGATGCCGTGTGAATATTTAGTGTTAAAAGTTCTTGAAGAAAACATGAACAGGTTGGTTTTGCAGTTTACACGACCTTTATTGTGACTTTGCTCATTGCCGAGGTTGAGCTCCAAAACCTTTAAAGACAGAAGTTTGCTTTTTACAATCTTCCACACAGACCTCTCGAGTTTGAATCTCCTGTGCATTTTTTTATTTTTATTTTTTTGGTAGTTTTCCTTATGAAACCTTCTGCGTGGATGCCGGGGCAATTCAATAGGTTGTGTAAAGCCCCGGTTTTAGCGCTTTGTAAATTTTATTCTAATGGTTACACTCGTGTCTGGAGAGAACGGTATACCTACTCCTCAACATCATACTGATCAATTTGCGACGTTTATACACGGCAGATTTATCCTCATTTTTAAGGATAACTTGGGTGTGTTGCTTTGTATTCCTAATAAAGATGTCATAATTTTTTGACGAGATAAATTACAACAGATTGGAGGCAAGCAGTATGGTTTTTGAAAGACTTCTAACTAGCATTTCAACTAATGTTGCAAACTTTCTCATTTAAATAGGCTTATACATATGATAATGGTTATGGTGATAAATCCATAATGCTTTCTATGACGAGAATTTATGGATTATGTGACATATAATGAGAAATGATCCTCCAAATTTGTGCCACATAATTAGGAAAAATGTGATGGCGTCTCTAAACCCTGGCAGGGTTCTACCATTTGATTTGGTATTCCACCACCGAACCTCCCCTTCCTAATAGCTACATAAGTCATTTTACCATAAGTAAATAATAATATCATTTGATTGAGGGATGTTGGTATCTAAGAAAGTTAAAGATAAAGCTCAAGAAGAAGATTCTGATCTCATGTCTAGAGATTCAAGCACAGGATCTTACTCAAATAAATCAAGTATCCGAAAATAAAGAATCCACGTCAAGTTCCAGGTATTTGTTTGGCATTGTGCTTCATTAACGATACCTAAAATTTGAGAAAATGGATTCTTCATTTTCAGATGCTTGATTAATAATAATAATAATAATAATAATAATAATAATAATAATAATAATAATAATAATAATAAGCATTCTTTATTTTCGTTAAATTAAATGTAGAGAATTGATTTGAAATTTGAATAAATGAATTGTATGAATGTGAAATGTATAAAGATGTAGAAGCAGGGGCGGATCTAGCACTTGGCGAGCCCCAGTGGCCGCCCGTGTTGAATCCGTCGGGAGGAGTATTTTTTGTTGGAAACAGATTAAATTTTAAGTTATATTATTGGTATTTCATTTTATTCTCAGTCGTGGCTTCTAGCTTAGATGGTTGGAGCTTGTATGTTTGTGTTGGATGTTTCATGTTTTAATCCCCTTGCCAGCAAACATTTATTTTACAATGCTTTTATTCTATATTTTTTTACAAAAATTAGATAGGAGGTGGACCAAAGGGGTCTCGAGCTCGGGTCCTATTTAATAGAGGTATTGGAAGCTTGACCATTACACCACTTGTTGGTTGTTGCCATTGTGTTTAACAAAGTAATATTTGTAGGTTTTATCTGGTTTGCAAGTACAATTGCAAAGATTCGAACACGCGCTCTTCCTTTAAATTATACAAAACTTGACAACAATGACATTCGATGAATCCAATTTATTCTTATAAGAAAATTATATATTCAATTTGAACAAAATAACTGTTATATTTAAACTTTAGATTTTGTTTGATTTTCATTTTTTTCAAAATATATTTTTTCTGTTCTTTTTAACCACACATTTTTCAATAAAATAATATTACACGTAAATTCAAAACTTCTATTTATTTTTAGCTACACATTTTCCATCAAATCACCATTCCAAAATATACTTTTTGGGAAAAACGCAATAAATAAATAAATGGTATCAAATGGGCTCTTAATATTTTATTGCGGCTGAACGGTCGATGACCGCCCGTGCTAGGTTGAACTTCTGAATTCGCCCCTGTGTAGAAGATTTGAAATTAGATTTGAAATGTATAAAGATGTAGAGAATTGAATTGAGATTTGAAATATATACATATGTAGAGAACATTCTGATTGTGTCAAAAAATTTAGTTCTAGGAATCTTTTTCTCACCCACTTTTTTCTCCATGCAGTCAAGTTGATTGCATGAAGAATGAAGCAGATGAACCCATAACTTGTAAGATAAAACTCGTAAAACAAAAAAACTAGACTCAACCAAGATGCTGAGCAATTGAGATTTGAAAATTTGAAATTAGAGATAATTTTTTATTTAATTTTTTTTTAAACCACTGTGTTTTTTTATTGCAAATGTACCATGTCGTAACAAGTAATATAGTGAACCATTTGAGTCCGAATTATCGTTCTTACGATGACTATACTTTAATACTTAATTTAATTTTTCTTTCTCCATTTCATGAAAATAAACAAAGAATTATAATTTATTGTGACTTTTTTTTTCACTTAAATACTTGAAAATAGCAATATGCATACAAAGATCGAATTGAAAATTCAAATATGAAATAGATGTTAGGGCATAACAATCTCATCTAGTAATAACCTTCAAATCTTAATTCAAGATTCGTAACCTAATGTAGTGTTTGATCGAATTCTCCTATTGTATTCAATTTACCCCTCCCGAGTCCTTATTGAGCCTATTTAACTAATGCGATCACATATCTATATGTGATGAATCTTAGTTATACGAAATATTGGTTCTAAGAATTCATATAACGACTACAATAACTAGTATAGGTATCTCTACATGTTATACTAAATTATCGAATTTTACTCTGCAGTCTAAATCTCAAACGCACCTATTATTTTGTAATAAATTCACAAAATTATTGAATTATTGATCAAATAATTCAAAGCATTAGATAAATAATTAAAATCAACACATATATAATGATAGAACTTGAATCTAGAATATAAAAAATAAAGGGTCTCAAAGATTACATTATTTGCCCTAATGAAAAACTTAGTTACTCATAATAATAGAAGAAAAAGAAATACATTACCGGGTTTTGAATTGATAGGTGGAAAAGTGAATGAATCTTACACCAAGTTCCTCTTTTTGCCTCAAATCTTGATTCCAAACCCTAGCTCTTGATTTATTGTTTTTCTCCTTTGATTTTGCTCTCTCAATCTCAAGTTGTGTTCTTGTGTATCTCAATGTGTGGAACTCCTTTCAATTGCCTCATTTTTTGTATTTATAATTGCCTCCTTTCTTTTTTTTTTTTGATTGCTGTTGAAATTTTATGGACTTTTAAATAGACCAAAAAACATGCACAAAAAGTTCTCAGGCAGCGCCTAGGGCGCTTGGCAATGGCGTCGCGTAATTTCTTTGTTGGCGTTGTGGCGCAGCGGTGCCACACGTCTATTCCCCTGTGTAATAGTGGCATTGAGGTGCCACAAAGTTGCCACAATGCTGCCAATTTATTTCGTTTAACGTCATCCTCCATCCTTATTCTCCTTTCTCTTCTTTCGATGTAGGAAATAAACTTTTTTGCCATTTTTCTTCTCCTTTTCTAATCTTTTGGTTTCAAGCCATTAGTTTTCTCCACTTTTACCATCATTTACACCATCTCATCAATTCTATAAAACAACACTAATAAATAAATTAAATATGTTCAATACACATAAGATCTAACTCATAATCAAATTAAAATAGCATAAAACTCGTGGGTAAAACACACTCGTAAAAAACCCTTCTCCTCTTATTGGGGCTTGGGACCTACTACTTAATTTTCAAATATGCAAATTTAAAATTGTACGCGAACAAGTTTACGTGTACAATTTTTTTTTTTTAAAACCAAGCCTCCAAAAACAAATAATCAATTTCCTCAAGTTCCAGGTATCGTCAATGAAGCATGTAGCCAAATAGTTTTTGGAGGCTTGATTCAAAGAAAAAAGAATTGATTTGAGATTTGAATTTAATTTTTTAAAATTTTATTTTGAAAACCCCCCTCTTATATCTGAGTTTGGGATCGACTACTTAATTTTTAAGTAGGCAAAGTTAAAATTATACACGAACAAGTTGTTGTGTGTACAATTTTTTTTTTTAAAATCAAAATATTATTAAGAAAATAACAAAGTTTGATTATATAACAAAATTAAATATCATTTACTCGATTACACGCAATTTCCTCATACTTATGTTGTATTTGAAACTTTGCGTCTTGTCAATCCCTTGCGCACATCACTGCTTCCAAAATATTTTCTTTCAGTATTGAATATGTTAGTAAATATTTTGTAATGACAAAAACAACAGAGTATTTTTGCTCATTTTTTTCATAAAAAATCAAGTAAATTAAATTGTATAAGATCAATGGGGTTCTGCGCTCCTAAGCATTTGATGATCGAAAAAATATTTAACTAATTTTGAAGGCATTCCAATCGGACTTCCGTCCGATGTTGGATTATATGCAATTGACATGTTAGAAGAAGAACCCGCCGAACGTCTTTCATCCTTAACTCTTTCAAATAAACTCACTAGTTCTACTTTGTCCTTTCCAAGATTAGCAGAAAGGGGGGTGCTCAACTAATATTTGCACCCAATCGCTATACATACAATCCGTACATAGAAGTGAACGTGTTTTCTAAATTCTAAAAAGTGATAGATAAGCCAAAATTTAAATAGTTTGTTATTTGTCTAATAATATATTTAGTGCGTCTTAAATTGTAGGTGGCGTCCATTGCACTTGCCAAAGAAAGTAACAAGGCAAGTCTTTATTGATGTCATCCAAATCAATTGAATTCTACTTTCATGAGTGTTACGCCCCCATCTGAACCGCCTCGGAACATCTACCACCATATATTCCGACCTGATAAAGACCTGTGCGAAGTGTTTCCGAAGTGATATCACCAATGACCACAACCTAGTAGCACGCTGCGAAAGTACAGGCGATCCCTACTACTGACCTGACCGAAGCACCTCGCCCCCAAGGCCGAGGCCAAGTGGACCCCTGTTAAAAGACCTGCCGCCAATTTCAGAAAGAGATTTGAGTCAAGATCCTCCCTGCACCTAAGGTTTAAATTGATTTGACGTCTCCATGAGATTAGTTGATGTGACTTATCAACTTTATGTCAATTCAACTCAGGAGAAACAAGCTGTCCGCCTACTCTACAGACGCCACTAATTGACGCTTATGAGCGGACGCCTCATACCGTTAGATGTATACACGTGTCCCACATCCAACGGCTCATCCCACCAATAAATACCCAAGGTTTGACAAGAGGCAAAGGTAATGAAACTCTTACTACATAGCACTCCATGGCAAGCTTATATATTTTCTCCTCCCCCTTATCATTGTTTTGCACAACCCTTGGGTACTGTTCCGACCACCTAAACCTGACTTGACCGTCAGAGTGTATACGGTCGCCACCACCCTCGCTGGTCCCGATCGTGCGCGTCTGACCGTTCGCTGATTGTGCGCGGGGAGGAATACGTGGAGTAGCTCTCAGTTGGC